TTCTTTTCTGTTACAACGATTGTCTTTGTGCTCGGTTTTGTTGATGTGAATGTTGGTATCTCTATTTAGCGAAAGTTTTTCGTCGCAAAAAAAAGGTTTATTCTGAGTTGACTGATGTCGGCTCAGGGCTGTTCTGTATCATAAAGTTAAATGTTCGCGTGCTTGGTGTTTTCAATGGACGACTCTCCCACGAGAGTCCCCCCAGTTGTGCGCTGCTTGCTGCAGATTGTAGTAATACTTGAGAATGATGGTCCATTGCTTGGCAACGTCGTACTTTTCGGCCTTGAAGGCGCTCGAAAGCTCGCGGAGGCCGTGTTGCAATTGATCTAGAAATCAACAAGCACCCACTGGAGTGAGACGCACTGTCCACACTCAAACATACCACGCCGCTTGAATTCTCATACAGCTGGTACACACACACACACACACACCTTCAATATCGGCTGCGATTTCCTTCACTTCTGCCTCGCTCTGGGCTTGATCTATCCGCTCGTTCAACTCCATGACTTCCATTAGCAACTCGGGCATCTGCAAATCGGCGGTTGACCGCTCCTCTATTTCGATGCCTTTCAAGTGCAGCTGCCACACAGTTGTCGTTAGTTCCACCACAGTCCAAATCGTTTGTGCATGAGCGTCGCTTACCAGATACTGTGCTCGCTTCAACGGCACTTTCAAAACATCATACGCCTTATTTACTGTCGAAGAGTGATGTGTGGAGTACTCTTGCTCGGTCTGCCGTCAGGCCAATGTGAGGAAGAGAATTCAGATACGAAGAAAACACGTACACCAAACCAAACCCGACAGACAAAACAACGTGCATTCACTCACAGGCGACTTTTGGCTAAACCGGTCTGGATGTAGCTTCCATTGCAGCTGCCTGAAGAGGCGCTCCAGATTTGCGGTATCGAGATCAAACGAAACGGGTCTGAGATGGTTGCCAACAAAGGGGGGGATGGTGAGGAAGAACAAAATTGGTGGTGTTGATCGATTATCTGCGTCTCCAAGACCGTCTGATTCATTCATCTGCCGTCTCACTGTCGCTTACAGTCCAAAGAGGTCAAAGTACGTGCCGCTGAGCGCAGGCGGCGCAATCACCGAGCACGAGTGGCAGAACAGGTCGTTCTTGGCAAGCAGACCCGGGCAAGACCAGCACGAGTGACCGTTGCTCTTGCTGGGCGTCTTGCTTGCATCGCCAGCAGCTTGCCGTGCAGTCGTCTGACCTGGCTGTCCGCTGGTTGAGGCCACAGATGGAGCGTGCAAGTGGAAGTCGCGCGTAGAGGCAGAGCACGCACTGCGACGACGCTCGGCCCGCGTCAGTGCATAGTGTGGTTGAATAGACGGCGCTTGTGTGTAGTAGCACGATGACGCTCGAGCGGCGGGTGAGCAGTGGCAGTCGCGCGACGACGCAATGGCAGCAGCAGCACGCGTTTGCATGGCGCGGGTTGCCGCCGTCGCCGTCGAACGCATGCTCGGCACAGTCAGAGACAAGGATGACGATGATGATGATGATGATGATGCTAGTGATGAAGCGAATGGGATGGAATTGGCTAAAGTGCTCAGCGGCGGTGGTCGTGACTTGAGCAGCTGCAACAACATTGTGTAAGGATTTGCGGCGCAAATAGAATACAGACTGCACCTCGCAATGATGCTCAGAGAGTGAAGATGGAACGTTGCAAACTATTGTATATAAGGTAAAGTAATAGAACTTTGGCACTCGAGCAAACAGTTGGATCATTCTGATGATTAGAATTCATTCAAAAGGAAGAGAATCACTTGGCGGGAGGATGCGCTCTACATAGCTAACAGTCTCATCATCATATGCCAAGTGAAGAGGGAGATTAACGAGATCATAACGAGTTGGCGGAGGGGGGGGGAGAAGAAGAATCTACTAGGGATGCACTTGCTGACTCGCCACAAAGTGAAGTGCTTGCTTGACGGCAGTGAGGTGAGCCTCTATCCAACGTAGCAAACAAACAAAAGCATGGTATGACACATCATAGCATCGACGTAATGTTCAGAACGAACAAGATGAGCAACAACTCTTAAACCCCGCAGAACACTGGAAGCGAAGCCTCTACAAAACATTGAATCGTACCTGCAAGATTCACCGTCTCACCAAACGCAATACCGGCATCGGCGTTCTGCTTGTGCAAGTTCGCAAACATTTGCAACTGTCACAGAAGGAGAGAAGATTGAATCACGCAAACTGATGAGTGTTTTGTGTCGCCGCGACACACAATCGCACGTTTCCCCACTGCATCCAACCTCGTCTTCGGCATCGACATGCATTTCGGGCAAGCTGTCAATGAGTACATCAATCTCCTTGGCAGTTCGAGCAATCATGGATGCGTGCGTTTGTGCAAATTCTGCATCCCGATCAATCGGCACAAACAAACCATTGTGAGCAGTTCGATCGAGTGTCCGAGTTCCCATTGCCCCGATCAATCCAAAATACCTACCTTCGTATTGCTGTAGCGACATTCCGCTTGGCGCAGGTGCACCGGCCGGCAGGATTGTTGCAGTTTGTGACGCAGCGTCCGTCGGCCGAAAGTCCTTCAATACACCGACACTTGTAAACAGCATTTCAGCCATCTATTGCATCAAATCATCCAGTATCAACGACGAGATCAGTGACCATGATCATGACGATGAATGAGTGCATGTTCAGTTTCAACGCCGTTGTCGACCCTTCGCGACCGACCAAGACCGTCGTCCATCACGAACATTGATCTATCTATTGGCCGTAGTGATGTTACCTGGCTGATTCGATCTTGGAGTTGTGTGAGGCGGTCGGTCTGGGTTGACGTTGGTGGCAGTTCTTGCTCGGCCGCCTTGCTCTGCTGCTGCTGCTGCTGCTGCTGCTGCTGCTGCTGCTCAGTCGTTGCCGTCGCCGTAGCACTCGTCGTCGCTGTGGTCGTGCCAGCCGCAGTCGAGGCAGAGGCAGCAGTGGGAGTGGCGGCGGTTGACTTGCCACGGATCGCGGCAGTCGTTGTCGTTGTGCTCATTGCTGCTCAAAAACTGAGACTGACTGAGACCTGACGAAGAGATGAAAAGAAAGAGACGACTGGATTTGTATGCAAACTGAGATGACAAGTACGGGTATGAGGATGATTGCAAGTTTGCAAAGTACTGTTCAGTACAGGAGTCAATTTCCTGTGTCGATCGCACTCTGGGATAGATACACACACACACACACACACAACAAGAGCTCTTGTCCACAAACGAAAAAGGCACTGATATTTGGTTCTGAATGGAGCGAAAAATACAAATCGACAAACGCATCTGAAAACAAACGGAACCCCCCATTTCTAAAATGTTCACGCAGGAGCTTGGGCAATAAGACTGCCAATGTCCCGGACATCGTGGCCGGCGCTGGCGCTCTCGAAATGTGCTCGCAGGGAAGCGATAGCAGGGCGAGACAGCGGATTGAGATCCCAGCAAGTCAACAGGAGACTGTACACATCATTTGGGCAACTAGCGGGCTGCTCAAGACGCAGGCCGGCCTCAATTTCCGCCACCAGCTGACGAGCCTCGACGGATTCGTACGGCGATGCGCCGTATGAAAAGACTTCCCCTGTTGTTGTGCAAGAGAATATCCACCACCGGTCAGGGAACGAAAAAAAAAAAAAACTGTTCAAACTGTCGCAAACACCAATCCTCGACGACTTACAAGCAAGCACACCAAACGCCCAGACATCGCTGCTGTGTGAGAACTTGCGATAATTGATACACTCGGGTGCCATCCACTGCATCCACCCCCATCCGCATTGGGTTTGTTAGCCAAACATTTTCAAACCAACAAAAAAAAAAACATTATTGAGAACAATCCAAACCAAACCAAAAACACTCACCTTCACAGGGACTTTGCCGCGATTATGCATCCGATAGTAGTCCTGCTCCTCGGCGAGACTGCGAGACATGCCGAAATCAGAAATCTTGACAGTGAGCTCCGAGCTGACGAGGCAGTTGCGTGCGGCAATATCACGGTGAATAAAGCGAATCGACTCGAGGTACTCCAAGCCCAGTGCGACCTGAGCAAGGGCGCGGTTCATCTCCGCCGCAGACCAGCTGATACCGAGCGCTTTCGACTGCGCAAGCACGTGGCGCAAGTCGCCGTACGGCATGAGCTCAATGACGCACATGTAGGGCACGCTGTCCAACAGGGCTGCAATGTATCGCACCACGTTGGGGTGACAGAACTGCGCCATCATTCGAGCCTCCTCGACAAACTCTAGACGAGACTTGTCATTGGCGTCCGACTGGAGCGACTTGACGGCCACATCGAGGTTTGCTCCCTCATTCAGACCATTCAGCAGATACTGCGCATCTGGGGCCACAAACTGTCGAGGAAGCTGCCCTCGCACAACAATGCCAAAGTTGCCAGACCCGAGCTTGGCTCCCAAGACCAAATTGTCGCGTAAGGATTTTGACCTTGGCCCGGGGCGCTCGTACACTTGGGAGGGTTCGTAGTGATCGGCGGCCTCCGTGACAGATGATACTTTGTGGCTGGCGGCGACGACTGGGGCATCATACGTTTGGGTGGCTTCGTACTGAGCAGTGACGACTGGAGCATCGTACATGCGGGTGGAATCGTACTGAGCGCTGGGTTCTGCACCGTTCTGCTTGGCAGGCGCCTCGTACTGCTGCGACGTCTGAACGGAATCGTAGATTTGATCGGACTCGTAGTGACTCGACGCCCGAGCTGGAACAGTCCCTTTGGCGATGGAGATTGTGTTGTTTGGTTGCAAGGTTGAATAGAGATCGGAGGCGGAATCCTGTGTGCCGAGTGCTTCACGCTGCTTGTTCGAAAGTGGCTGCATTGAAAGCGAGGTTGATCCGTGCGACAATGCATTGTCATACATCGGAAGGGATGCCGAGCTGCTACCTTTCACAATCAACTGCATGCTTGCGCGACTACGACGACGTCGTCGAACAAGCATGAGAGCGACGAGAAGCAAGAGCAAGAACACACCACCGACGACAGAGCCCGCCACCGCCGGTACCATGCTCGCCGAGCTTGATTCAGGCTTGTCATCTGAGTTGTCGACCCGACATTCGATAGGCGAGACGACGGGAGCCCAGAGAAGCGAAGAATTGCACGTGACGAATTCCGTGGAATTTCCAGCCAGGCGCAGTCCGCTGTCGCAATGCGGGACGCACTGTGACATGTAGTTGAACGAGTCCGAGCAGACAAAGGAGCCATTGAGGAGACTGAGTGCGGAGCATGCCAAAATGCCGCAGTGCGCCTTCATGGTCGCATTCCACGCGCCGGACGCTTGGCAGCGCACGGGGTCGGTATTCTGACCAGCGAGGCCGTACCCAGCATCGCAACGAGGCGCGCACACGGACAGATAGTTTGTCGTATCGCCGGTGCACTCGACAGCACCGTGCTCGAGAGTCAGAACAGGACACGACACAATTGTGCAATGCGCCGACACTGTTGCATTCCACTGCTGCGACACGTTGCAGTACACTGGGTCTGCGTAACTGCCCTCAAGCGTGTAGCCAGTATTACAGAAAGGAGCACATGTCGAGCCAACAACGGCAGAGCCTCCTTGACAGTTGTAGCCTCCATTGGCAATCGTGGGAAGCGGGTTGCAAGCGAGCGGATCGCAGTAGTTTGTCTCGGGATGAGTCCAAGAGCCATTGCTCTGGCACACCGAGTCGACCGTTTCGAGTGGCGCATACCCGCGAAGCTGATATCCTTGGTTGCACGAGATGGTGCAAACACCCCCGAGCGAAAAGCCGCTGCAGCTGACTGCACCATTGAACGGTCTGGGGATGTTGTCGGGACACAGCACATTGTTTAAAACGCAAATTGGCTTTGGAGCTGACCACTTGCCGGCAACAGTCGTGTTTCCAGCGCACGTGCGAGTGGTTGACGCACCGGCAGTGCCGTCGATGACATAAGCCTGGTTGCACAAGTACGTGCACGTCGAACCGAGGGTCAAGCCGGAGCAGGACACCATCCCGTTACTGATTGTGCCTGGACTGGGACAGTAGTCCGGGACGAGGTTGCAGTTGCTCGAGGGCGAAGTCCACCCAAAGCCGCTGGTCGGTCCAGAGTCCTGGCAGATAATATTGGTCGGAGCAGCGGGTTGATATCCAAGATCACATTGCAGTGAACACGAGGCAAGGTCTAGCAGTACGCATCAACGCCGAGGGAAGGTGAGGGCAGCTTGGCATGGAACAGAACAAAATTCTCCCTCTGTCTCTGTCTCAGTCTCTGTCTCTCTCTCTGTCTCAGTCTCTGTCTCTCTCTCTGTCTCTGTCTCTCTCTCTGTCTCTCTGTCTCTGTCTCTGTCTCTGTCTCTGTCTCTGTCTCTGTCTCTCTCTCTCTCTCTCTCTCTCTCTCTCTCAGTCTCTGTCTCTCTCTCTGTCTCTGTCTCTCTCTCTGTCTCTCTCTCTCTCTCTCTCTCTCTCTCTCTCTCTCTCTCTCTCTCTCTCTCTCTCTCTCTCTCTCTCTCTCTCTCTCTCTCTCTCTCTCTCTCTCTCTCTCTCTCTCTCTCTCTCTCTCTCTCTCTCTCTCTCTCTGTCTCTCTCTCTCTCTCTCTTTCTTACATGTTGTGCCAGCTGGGCCGGTTGCGCAGGCAAAGTTGCCGTTGGGAGGATTCGCAGGCGAGCCGCAGTTGATTTGTTCGCACGAAAATTGGCGCGATGTCCAGGACTCGGTTGGCTGGCATGTGATGACGCCGGAAGAGTTGGTGGATCGCGTGCCCGTAGCACACGAATGCCCACAAACGCCTCCCACGGTCATAAAGTTACAGTTCCAACTTCCAGCAGGGAAATTGTCGGGCTGTACACATGATTTCGGAGCCATCACGCAACACGCAAAGTACCACTGTCGATCGTCTTGCGAATTGGAGTGGGTAGAAAGCAAAGACCCAATGTACTGGAAACTGCCAGAACAAGAGTAGTCTAAGGGCCCCTTGAACGAATTGACAGCCGACGAGGTAACGCAACTCCCAGCCACTTTAAATTCCGGAATCATGGGCACAGCGCGCGTTTTGAAGATACGGTCAGCCGCGGCAGGACCGTATACAGAGGCCATCCCGAACAATGTGGTGCCTGTCGTGGCAGTCCAACTTAACGCCTACTCGAAACGTCGTTGATAGAGTACAAAGTCAATATTGTGACGCTGAAACAAACACATGCACAATTGGTGGGGAGGTGGGGAACTTACAGCATCATAGGTGTTCAATTCCCCCGACCAATTATTCGGCGTGTTGGTTGCGGTGAGTGGCTCTTGGTTGTTTTTTGTAATGCAAGCGCGGATGTATTGCCAATTGCGGTCTTTTGCAGCGGTATCGTAGGTGGCCTTGAACTGTTTGCCCCAGCCAAACATTTTTCAAAGTGAATGCGTGTGAGTAACGCCATGGTCTCGTGCGATATTTGCAGAGGGCTCCCGTTTTTCTCGCTCGCAGCTTACCCCTTTAAAGTAGCACTGTGGATTGGACACATCGACGGTCTGATAGCTTGTTGAACCAGCCGTAAACAAGTTCGTGCTGGATGTGGTGGGGTGACCAAACGGATGTGATAGAGCCAGTCAGCCACACACGGCACTACAATTCGCATAACGCACAGTGCATCACGATCAAGCTTGCATGCGCACGTACGGAAGATCGACGGCTTCGACGTACGCGGCTATGATGGTTAATCCAAATAAAACCAAATAAATACAAAAAGCCGAAGGGGTGAGTCGAAAGAACAAAACAAAACAAAAAAGCGGTAACAGTTTCTCCGCTCTTGTCGCTTCCACTGATGGAGTGGAGAACGATGCGAGGATGGTGCAGATACGAGTTGCCACTGTGGTCATCCTCCCCACCGCACCCCTGGTCTTGGTGGCGCAGGACACTGCAGGGAGAAGCGAACAAATGGGCCCGATTCAAGAATTTGTTGGCGTCTCCCACCCCAGCACCGCACGGCCACCACACCGCATCAACACTCCAATGCAAGTTACGTCTGACTCACCACTGCAGGTACCAGCAAGCTGGAGCGCCGCGACAAGAAGCAGCGTTCCACAGACAACAAGCATTTGTGTGCGAAATCCCAAAAAAAAAAAATAAAAAAATAAAAAAAAGCCAAATCAAGCCAATACCAAAACCCCAAAAACGGGCGAGGCAAAAGGAAGAGTGGATTACAAGAAAGGAAACAAAGGATGGGGTCGGAATACCAGCGTTCATACCAGTGTTGCTCAATGGTCAAACTCAGCATCGGGGAACAGAGTGCGTGGAACCAAAGTGGAACCAAAATGGATCACATTGTGGAACAAGAAAAATAAAAAAAAAAAAAGCAGCAAATCCAACTCAAACAAAAACTCAAACCCCCGCGTCAAAAGAAAAACTCATGCAGCGGGCTTGATCGACTTGAAAATAGAAGTAAGAGCAGTTCGGAGACGCTCGAGCTGGGGTTCGCCGACAATCAGCGGCGGAGTCAGGCGCAGCACGTTCTTGCCGGCTGTGATCATGACAATGCCGTGCCGCAAGGCTTCCTGCTGGACTTGCTTGGCAGTGTACTCGGCAGTCAGCTCAACACCGCGCAGGAAGCCAATGCCGCGCACGTCCAGCACGACCTTTGGGAACTGCTGACGAAGCGACTCTAGAATCTCATCAAAGCGCTTAATGTTGGTCTGCATCTTGGGCAGCAGTTGCTGGACCTCGCCAAGCACGGCGCGGGCAACGTTGCAGACGCCAGGGCCGCCACCAAAAGTAGTTCCGTGATTGCCAGGCTGCCAGAGAGCGAACAAACAGTGAGAACAAAAAAACAAAAAAAAAAAAAAGTCAAACAACCAAAAAAACAACCAAAAAAACAAACCACCACCCCTTGATATCGCCTCCAATCTCACCTTGATCAGCTCGGAAACACGGTCGCGCACAAGAATGGCACCCACGGGAAGGCCGTTGGCAAGAGGCTTGGCCAGGGTCATGATGTCGGGCTGGACGCCGTACCGGCGCTCAGCTGTCCATTCTGCCCCTCATGTGGCCCCATTCTTCCAAGGCATTACTTTGACCACCGACATCCAACTCGACGTCAAGCTCACTCGCGAGCAGGTCGTGCAGCGCTTCCAGGACATGTTTGGCAAGGAGCCGCTGATTGAGATTGTCGCTCAGAAGGATGCTGTTCCCGTCGTGAAGGACAATGCGCAAAAGCATTTTGTTCGTCTCGGTGGATTTGCGGTCGATCCTGCCACCAACCGTGTCGTCGTCGTTGCCACCCTTGATAACCTCCTCAAGGGAGCTGCCACCCAGGCACTTCAGGTGAGCTTTTGTTGTCGATGTTGCTGATGTCAGTGCGTCGGCATTCTGTTGAATTGAGCGCGAAGGGGTAGGGTAGGTTAGGGTTAGGCGGCAAAACGCAATGGAGCTTCATCGTAACTGCGCAAGTCCTGCAGATCTGCATTTGCAACATGAATTTTTGATTGGATGTGGATGGTTGGTTTTTCTCTCTTCTCTCATTGGGCGACAGTTTTGTGCGTTGGATTGCTGGCTAACCGCGCGCTCGTGTGTGTCGCCGCTTCACAGAACATTAACATTGCCCTCGGTCTGCGCGAGCTGGACGGAATTAAATCTGAGTAGACTCGGGTCGAACTAGCGGGCCGTTCGGGACTTGACAACCTAATAAACAGTTTTAATTCCGGTTGATTTTCACAAAGGGGGTTGGAGTGCATACAGAGAAACAGACAGATGGAGCCATGGTTTCAAAAAGCACACCTCACAACACATCGCCGGGCTCAAGCGAAAGTTTGGTGAGCATGGCCATGCGCGCCGCTTCCTTATCTTCGTCGGAGCTCACCCGGGTGACTCGTGACAAGTCGCAGAAGACCGCCATCAAGGTATTGGAAGCCTTCGTGTAGAAACCGACATGACGCATCAGAAGATCGTCGTGCATGTAGCCTGCCGTGGCCATTCTCTGCGCAGCCTCGCGAATCGCCCTTCGAGCGTCCGCAGGTATTTGCTTGGGAAACTCTCCTGTCTTGACAAAAGGCATGACGAGCACCGGCTGCTCGAGCAAAGTAGTGACAACCGCCTCGGGAAACTGGGGGTCTCGCTGATGCCAGATGTCGTTCCACCGTTCGCACTCGGCTTGAATGACCTCCAAGTTGGGCTCGTTGAAGAACTTGACGACGCAGACGCGGCCCGCTGTGTTCGATGCGAGCCACGCCGTGCCATCGCCGCCACCGCCGAGTCGGAGTGTCAGGTAGAGGCGATTTTTCTCTTCTTCCGGCGATTTGTGAAGAGTCGGCATGTGGTTAAAGTCAAGAGGCATCTTGAACGACTCCCATGCTCGGCTTTTCCAAGTGACGGCAAGGGCTGTGTGGCATCTTCCGCGCGTTGGGACAGTGCGGCTCATCTTGTAGATCGCGGAAGCGAGAACGGACACGATATTCGTGTCTTGGTAGTAGAAGGGTTGGCTGCAGCGGAGCTCGCGCTTCAGAACCTGCTGAGTTGGCGGCAGGAACGGCGTGTTTGTTGGTTTGGTCTCCCCGAAAGCAGGCAAGGGAAGCGAAGTGTGCAGGTCCTCTTCGCGCATGGTCGAGTCCTTGTGCCGAGGGAGCGCCTGGGAGCACGCGGCAAGCCGGTTTGCTTCTGGCTCGTCCAGCCAGCAGATGCGCCAGTACATGTAGTTGGTCAGGATGCCAAACAGTGCGTTAGGCTTGAAGGTGATGCGCAGCTCCTGCAAGTAGTCGTACAGCTGCCCCAGAATGAGCGGGTTGTGCATGTCTGCGAGCGCGAGATGCTTGCGTTGCTCCTCGTATTTCGGACTGCTGGTGGGTTCCGGAGCGGACGGTTTCTTGACCTCAATAGCACCATGTCCGATGCCGAGCCACGATACGTACCAGAGGTCCGACTTCTGTGCCGCGTTCGCTCCCGAGCCGGCGGTCTTGAAGAATACAGGAATCTCGCCCAGTTGTGTCTGTCCGAGGACTTTGGCGACCGCAGTAAGCGTGAGGTATACCAGTTGCTGAACGGCTTCCTCGCCATCATACCCAGCCCGAGCTGCATCAAGAACAGAATCAGCAGGACGCTGTGTGTATGCCAAATCGGTATGCACGACAAATTCGCCGTGGAGTGCAGTGGCAGGTTGGTGATTTGTTGGCACGGATGCATTCAAGCTTGATTTGCCCAGATTGGCAGCACCAAGAGCTGGCAAGACAATGTCCTTATCGAGCAGGAACTCGGAAGCCCTCGACTCGGCTTTCTGGCGCGCTGTCTCGGCTTCCAGGCGCGCGTTTCTCTCGGTCTCGGCTTCCTGGCGCGCTGCCACGGCTTCCTGGCGCTCCTGCTCGGCTTTCGCCACGGCTTCCTGGCGCGCTGTCTCGGCGGCTGCGGCTTTCGCCTCGGCTTTCGCCTCGGCTTTCAGCTCATTGAGAAGGGTTTTGAGCAGCATGAAACCAACTGCAAGCGGGACAAACTCGCTGGTGTCGCGTAGCCCCAGCTCATCAAGCACTGCTGCGGCGCTTGTCCGCTGTGATGGTGAGGGTTGTGGCAGCTCGTTGCCTTTGATGGTACTTGCATCGGACAGAGCCGCCAGGAGGCCAGACCGCTGGGTGGCCAGGTTGACGTTGGGCAGACGGGGCGAAAATCGCGCCAGATCGAAATCGACCGCCGAGACGCCGAGACAAACTGCCAAGTCTTGCATCGGGTCGCTCGAAGCGGCGGCGGGGCCTTGGTCGACAAGACGGGCAGTGGAGGACGAACTTGCATTGTTGGTTGCAGGGTTCGCGTCAGAGCTGCGGCGAGAAGCGAACCGGGGGTGGGTGGGGAAAGGCAATGATGTCAGTGTTTCAAACGGTTTCTTGGCATTTTTGGGATTTGACCGTCGCAAGTGCAGCTGGACGACCAGCCGTGGGCCGCATACACTTACATTGAAACACTCTGAAGTTGCACAGTGAGATCGCGGACGGAGGCGTCTGGTACAGCTCGGTCGTTGTTGTTGGACATGTTGGACTTGGAGTTGGCAAAAAATGACTGACCCGCTCCGCTCATAAACGATTTCAGAATGAAAACAAACAACATTTATTTGAAAATACTGGAGCATGGGAGATGAGATCGGGAAGAAGTCGGGGAGTGGGGAAGCGTCAACATGGGCTTGGGCAGCGACAACAGCGAACGACTCTGCTCCACATGACCGTCGTGTCTGACATGGACATTCTCAAGGTCCTGCTTGAAGTCCCAAGTGTTCTATTTGATGCCTGCACTGTACTGCCATTCAACGGGGGCTGATCGATGTCGCCAGGCTGTTTTTGGACATGCTGTGCGATGAGAGCCGCCAAGCTTGCCAATATTCGTGGACGCACGCCTTACTGCTCTGCGGTGCACAACCAGCTTCCAGGTGAATTGATCAAGCGTTTGCTCAAGACACGATTCAGCGTTGACCTGAACGACAGGGGTCGTGTCGTGCAGGCCAAAACACCGATGTGGCTTCGCGACCATCTTGACCGCGCCGCTCTCGATGATCGACAGTGGCTCGACGCTTCCTGACAAAACGTGGGATGGATCCGAATCCACGCGATCAATGCACCAGCTGTGGAAGCGTGCGGTTGAATAGGGGCACGTTTTTCACACGAGCATTTGTGCTTTTTCGTTCCTCTCTGCGATGCTTTGCAAGCTGGCCCATCCACCCATTCATAACGCATTCGTTTCTTTCAAGGCCAGAGTTGTAGATCGAGTCAACCCCTCGACTTGTTTGAGTTTGAAAAAAAAAAATATCGGCAAAAACAAACAAACAAATAAAAAAAAAAAAAAAAAAAGCCATTTTGCCGTCAACTCATTAAATTGCATTTTTTTTTTTTTTTTTTTTTCCATTCCACATTTTCCCCTTTTATTCCGGTTTTTATTTTTTCTTTTCGATTTTTTTTTTTTTTTAAAGCGCAGGTGCGTTTCCCTCACTTTTCTTCGCTCTCTCTCTCTCTCTCTCTCTCTCTCGTTCTCCGACTCGCCCCACAGCACATCCACGGCAGTTTTGATGTTGCCACCAACGCATTGCATGCCTGGTCCACTCATACGAAGCATCTCCGTTTTCGATCTATCCTTTTTTTTTTTTTTTTTTTTTTGTTCTGGCGGCCGCGTGTCTGCGGAATAAGCCATGCGTTTGCTCGCTTCCCTGCCGCCCCTGCCGCAACCCAGGCCCCCGCGCGCCTCTGCATGTCGTCTTCCATGCTGTTGATTCATCGTACGCAGTGAAGGCGGACGCAGGGAAGTCCGCTGAAGGGCCGTCAAGACGATCGAGCGGCTTTTTCGCTTGTTTTCCGCTTGATTTTTTTTTTTTTTTTTTGGTTTTCCGAAGTCACTGTCGTCGCTTTTTTCGATCTTGATTCAATCTGGTCTGCGCATTCGACTCAATTCACAGATGGCAGGTTGTTTGCTGTCATTGATTGTTCGACTGGCAAAAGCGGCGGATTCGAAACAACGGCAGAAAGGAGGGGGGGGGGAGAAAATGCGCACTCATTTTGAAATGCCCGTAAAAACAAAACCCAGTTCCTATAACCAAAACGGCTTTTTATTCGTTTTCAAACCCTACTCTTGCTTACGGTCACGATTTGATTTTCTTTGCGCATTATGATGTCATGGCGCTCCTTTATCATTTTATTATTATTATTTTTTTTTTTTTCCCCTCGCTCAAAACTTCTTTTCGTTTGTTTCCCCTTTGTTTTTTTCCGTCACGCCCGTGTTGTTTTTTTCCCCTTTCTTTTGTGCGTTTTTTTCTTTCTGGTTCAATATTATTTTTCAAAAAGTTAATTTGATTGCTGTTTTTGTTGGTTGCTTGTTTGTTTGTGCCACCTGACACGCTCGCTGTTTAAGGAAATTTCTGCCACGACAAATAACTCACTTTTTTCTTATCGCTGCAATATTTTTGTTGTAATTTATTCTTCTTCTTCTTCTTTCATTTTTCAGGTCGGCGCTCGCATCCCAATCCCTCCCTCCTCAAGTCACCTACCCTCGTCAAATCTGAATTTATAAATCCTTCAATGGCCTCCTGCCTTGCCTCTGGCATTGTTGAAACCCGCGTCGACTACATTTACATTGTTGCTTGGAAGGGTGCCGCATCTCAATAAGTTTTCAATCAAAGCTTAAGAGTTACGTTTCTTTTTTTTCCTTCTTGTTAAGTTTATTGATTTTTAATTCCCCCCCCCCCAACTTCCGGTCTTCCTTTCTTTTTTTCTTTCGTGCGTTCTTTTCGACACCTTTCCGTTTGATTCTACCCTGTTTATTTTTTATCTCTCCACCAAACCGCGACGATTTTTTTTTCGACTTTTTCGACTCTCTCCTACATTCTTTTTCTTCTTCTTCTTTTTTGGCACCCTTCCGAGCGCAACAAACAATGTCAAACTCGTTCGACTTCCTGTCCAACCTGTACTCGACCGGGCTCAACCCTTACACTGCCGTTCCTTTGCCTATGCCTCACAAGGCGTTCGTCCCGCTCGATGCTGCCGACCTGCACTCTGCCGTCGCGCTTGCCCCCGATGCCTCTGCCAACGATCTGCTGCTTGCCCTCCTCTTCCGCGACCAGCAGCAGCAGCAAGCCATGTACTTGCAGCAACTGGTGCAGGCCCAAGCCCTCCAGCAGCGTCAAGTCCAGCGCCTCCAAGCGCCAGCACTGCCCAACTGGTCTGAGATGCTCGCATTGGTGGACCAGTCCATCGCCGATGTGCAGGCAGCTGTTTACTCCCGTCGCGTGTCTGACACGACGTCGCTCAGCTCGGGCGCTTCCCCTTCTTCGAGCAGCAGCAGCGAGCACAGCTTCCCCTTTCTGGACGACGCCGAGACTCTGTCCTCCGGTGCTCAAACGCCCCTGTCGCCCAGTACCAGCGTGTCAAACTCGACCTCTGGCCCAGCCTCCCCGTCAGACGAGACGCCCGTTCCCAAAAAGAAGGCCGCTCGCTCCCCGTCCGATGCGGCTGCTCAGCCGTCGACCAAGATTGCCGCCGTCACGGACAGCCAAGGCAACCAGATGATCTGCTCCAACTGCGCCACAACCCACACGACGCTTTGGCGCCGTGGCGAGACTGGCATTGTCTGCAACGCGTGCGGCTTGTACTTTAAGCTGCACGGCGAAGTCCGCCCCATCAAGCTGCGCAAGGACACCATCCACTCTCGCAAGCGCAGCAAGCGCAGCAGCGATGATGAAGACGCCAGCGCTGTGCCAGTCGTGAACGCTGGCCGCATTCGCAAGCGGGCCCCAAAAGTCGCAGTCGCTCCCAACATGGCGGATGCAGTGATTTCTGTTGCCACTGCGCTGCCGGCTCTTCCCCAAGCCCAGACGTGTGATGCTGGCGATGTGAACCAACAAATTGCGCGTCTGATAATGATGCCAGAGTACTTCACCGCCGCCCCCGTCGAGTTTGTCAGCATGTTCTCTCTGTGAGCGCGTAGTTGTTCTTGTGATGATGGTTTGTGTGTCATGTTATTGCGTTGTGATTTGCCTCCACCTTTGTTTTTCTTTTGCATGAATACCAAATAAAAAGAGATTGAAAAATGACACGATTTTGTTCAAATCTGTAGTTCCCTGTTTTTCCGCCTCCCCCACCCCCCGCATGTTCTTAAGTTTACGATACATGCGCATCTGTTCACTATATTATTAATCTTTATCAGTCCTGTAATCTGAGTTCCAAAACGCGTTTCGCAAGCATCGCTGTTTGGCGATGTGGAGGTGGAAGTTTGCCGATCGACCAACCGGGCCATTCGCAACAGGATCACTGCCATTCAGTGTCAAGCACGATGCCCGTGCAGCATCCACCAGCAGCGGGAGTGGTGGGGAGCACCACCACACCAAGTCACCCGGAGCGCGTCGCTGCCAACCGGGCCCATTGCTGACGTCCTTGCTGCTCGTCTGGCTGGTGCTCGGGCTTGTCTATGGAGAGGTATACCGAACGTGGATCCACGTGCGACAGTGCGACTGGCCACAGTAAGAACAAGCCACTTTTGCAACCCAATTCAAAACGAAACGATTTTGAGCGCCAACTTTTCAAAATTTGTCTCCTCCTCCCATTTTTGTTGTTTTGTTGGCATCAACACAAACAAAAGACCTGCAGATCATTTTGCCACGTTTAAGAATGTGAGCACACTGCGCGTGATGGTCGTGACAAGCCCACGGCTTCCAGGTCTGATCAAGTGCTGTGTGAAACGTGAGATGGTGTTTCGCATGAGCGCTTCTTACATTCCGTTTCGATGCTGTTATTTTGGGTATGTTGCTTGTTCGCTTGTTCGGACAAAGTAGGCAGAGCTGCTCATTCGCTTGGTTTCATTGGAGCTGCGGCGAGATGGGATGCCGACCGCTTCTTTTCTGACACAATCGCCGCTGTCGGTTTGCATTCACCCGATGTGATTCTTCTACTCGGCGATGTGTTCCATGAACATGAAGCACAAGTGTCTGATGAAGAGTTTGAGGTATGGGTATGTGTGTGTGTGTGTGTGTGTGTGTGTGTGTGTGTGTGTGTGTGTGTGTGTGTGTGTGTGTGTGTGTGTGTGTGTGTGTGTGTGTGTGTGTGTGTGTGTGTGTGTGTGTGTGTGTGTGTGTGTGTTATTGCTTTTGAACAACTCAATTTGCTCCGTCCGACCATGCAGGACAATCACCAGAGATTGATGCACGTGCTCAAACGCCATGGAAAGGCGCAAATCCTGATTGTTCCTCGAAGCTCCGAAATAGACAGCAACCTAGGCTCTCACCCTTCCGAAACCCACCGGCTAGAATCGCGCTATGGCGCGCTCAACCGCGCAGTCACGATCGGACGAGTTACCTTTGTCATGTTTGACGCTCTTGCCGGAAGAGACACCGAAAGCAGTGCGAGCAGCTTTTTGCACAGGTACGGGCAGAGCAAATTGGCCGCGAGTCGTCGCGTCGAGCAAAAGCGACGGGAGCTCTTGCAAACCCGGTTGGACAAGCTCTCGCGAATGGGCACAGACCGCCGAGAAGCCAACTTTCGACCCAATGACATGGAGTACGAGACACGGAATGCAGAGATCATCCTCTCGCACCACGCGCTGACGCAACTCGACGCTGGAGCTCAAGCGACCATTGTTTCTTGGATTCAACCGGATCTGGTGCTTGGTGGACATGCCGACACCGCTGCACTCTTTCGACACATGGCGGCGACCGTCCCCGGCCAAGGCCAGATTGTCACGACGGCATTTAACAGCGCGACGCCGCAGGGAGCCGATGGAGGCTCCCAAACAAAACACCAGCAGTATGGCTATGCCGACTTCCTGCATGGAAAGCAGGCCATGAGAGCTGCACACGCGGACTTCTCGCTCGTCGATACAAAGGATGTCTTTGTCGTGCCGGAAATCACAGTCCCGCCGCTTGTGACAGACCGGAGCATGGCGCGCCCTGGATTCTCGCTCGTCCAGATTGATGTTGCCGACTACGATGAGAGTGTGCTCGAGTATGTCTCGCGCGACGCCTCGCCAGAGGAGCTCACAGCGGGCTGGCCCCGTCTGGGTGGGCAACTCCGGCCAAGCCAAAATTGGCGCTTTACGGCTGTTCACGCAGCGCACACTCTCTGCATGCTCCCACCGCGACTTCCGTTGCTGCAGCTGTACGCCTTTGCATTCATTCCACTGCTGGTGTATGCTGCGACAGTATTTGCGCTCGGCTGCGGGCGTGTCGTTCAATCGCGAATTTTCAAGCGAGATTAACCCAGGCGGGTACAAGGCGTTATGAGTTTTTTTTGGTGGCATGTGTCATTGTAATCATGTTTATAAGTAGGTCTTTGACACCTGTGTCTTGCGAGCGGAGCACGCCCAAGCGCGACCAAAGCAAACTCTTTTTGTTTTCTTTTCATTGCCTTTATCGTTCCGTTCAACGTTATCATCCTCTTATTTTTACTTCATGCCATACTGCAGTAGACTATATCGTACGCTCCATGCCATCACTCTCCAGCACATCCACATTCATTCATTCTTTTTTCTTCAGTTTTTCAAACCATGCTGCTTTCTCGTATGTCGTTTTGTTTCGCTTTCCCGTGTTTTTGGTTCTTTACTGCCGTTTCTCCTCTTTCCCCCCTTCTTTCGTCCTTTCTTCCTTTCTCCCTTCTGCTTGCTTGCCGCTGCCGCCGCCGCTGCACTCTCGTCTGCCGTCCGATTCTCTTGTTGTCTCCCCCCCCATTCTCTCCTCTTTCTCTCCCTTTCTCCTGTCTGTCTGACTAGATGGTTGACTTTCAGACGCGATGGCGTTGCTGCAGCATTGACCTCGTTTTTTTTTTTTTTTTTTTTTTTTTTTTTTTCCATGATTCTTCATTGTATTGCTGGGTCTCCACTTTCAACCCTCGAATCCTTCGCTCCCATCCACCCAACTTCCCCATCATCCCCATTTTCATCCCAAACACCATCTCGTGTGCCTTGATCCGAGTTCAGCCGACTATTGCCTGCGATCGGAGCAGCAACATTCAACGTCTTCCCCCCCCTATTTTTTTTTTTTTTTTTTTTTTTTTTTTACTCACTGCACTTCCATTGCTCTCTTCCATTTGCGCTCTCCCCCCCTCTCCAATGGACAGGTCTCGCTCCCGCACATCGCTTGATGCTTGCACGAACGCTCACCACATCGGCGACCGCGCCGTCCGCGGCCGTTGCGACCCAGCAGACCGTGTTCAAGCCGATCAAGTCGTCCTTCCCTGCCAGCCTCGCGCCTGCCAACCAGGCCGAGTTTGCGCTGTCAAAGCTCGATGCGCTGGTCAACTGGGGCCGCACCGGATCCGTCTGGCCGATGACGTTCGGTCTTGCGTGCTGCGCCGTCGAAATGATGCAGGCTGCCGCTGCGCGCTACGACTTTGATCGCTTTGGCATTGTCTTCCGTGCATCGCCTCGCCAGTCCGACGTCATGATTGTCGCCGGCACCCTCACCAACAAGATGGCGCCTGCCCTCCGCAAGGTCTACGACCAAATGCCCGAGCCCCGATGGGTCATTTCCATGGGCTCGTGCGCCAACGGCGGCGGCTACTACCACTACTCGTACGCTGTTGTCCGAGGGTGTAAGTGCCATCAGCATCGAGAAGATGAGATGGGTGGAGAAAATCGAGAGAATGAGAGAGAAAGAGAAGGAGAGAGAGAGTTTGAGAGGGCGAACAGCTTGCATCTCACACCAAAAATCCGTTTCTTTTTTTTCGTTGTTACAGGCGATCGTATTGTTCCAGTTGATGTTTACGTCCCCGGCTGCCCACCGACCGCCGAGGCATTGCTGTACGGCATTCTCCAACTGCAAAAGAAGATCAAGCGATCCAACCAGGCCCAAATGTGGTACCGAAAGTGAAAAAAAAAAAATCCATGCTTCCCGCCAAGAAGTCTCTGTTCCATTGTGTTGTTTATGCCCGTCTTTTTCGTTGTATCATTGTCTGTTTTCTTCTTCTCCTTTATTGTTTTCGATGGGTGTGTTGTGTTCTTTTTGTTGTTGTTGCTGGTTTTCTCTCTCGCCACACAGCACTCCTGTCTGTCAGTGTTTCAATCGAACAACAAAAAACGCTGTTTTGATTTCTCTTCTTGCTCTGACAAGCCCATCAAAGGCAGGGTGATACCCGAGCTAGTATTCTCGTGCTCGATTGAAGCCATTATGTATCGCTCACCAACCTCCTGAACTCGGTCAGAGAAACTACGCTGAAAGCACTGAGCTTGAATGATTCTAGAGTACTTTAATTAATACAGTCCTGCAAGACAACTCACATGAGAATTATACGTAGTCCAGCAACCACACCACACACCACAACAGCACAAAAAAAAAAT